TATGAATTTCAGTGGCTTAACATTTTTTATGGTTATGTGCAAGAGTGATTATTGTAGCTTTACCATTCCTGCAGGGATTGGATCCTGTATTCTCATGGACTCCAAACGTGCATAGGGCCACTCCCTGGACTGCAGATAATTCTGCCATGCAAAAACAGCAGTCCTCTGCCATGGCAGAGTTCTGCACTATCTAGATTCCAGAGGGGGGTTACGTCAAACAAACAAACAAAACTTTCTGCTGGTATCACAGGTGAAATGCTACAGTAATATCCAATAGAATTAAACCATAACAACATTTGAGAGTATTTCTATTTTGATGATATTCATAGATAACATAATTGTAGCCTCAACTTTGTTTTTTGCTCCCTAAATATTGCAAGGAATAGATTTTGGCAGTTTTAATAAAACTGGTGCCATTGATGCTGAATGTTTTTTTAAAATAAAAGATTTTTTCTTTTGTGTGCATGTTTTGTAATTGACCAACAAGAACATCAGCCAGTAAAAATGAAAATATTTAGAAGCAGAAATAATAATAATAATGAAAGAAACAGGACATGCTTCTAAAGGGATACCATGGAACTAAAGGTTAACACAAAACAAAGTACTACAAAAGAAAGATAAGGCGAAACCTGCATAGAAATGTCACTGCACATTTTAAGATATATAAAAATGTCTTTTTTTTTCTAGTTTTAAGGAGTTTATTGAAAAGTTTATCTAAACATACATTACTATTTTTCTTAATTAAGTATTAGATGTGCATTAATTTGCTGTGTATTCTGTATATATAAAAAGTATTTTGACATTATTTCCTAAAATTGTCAGTATGCTATGAGCAACATTCTTATGACTTATAACAATTTGCAATACAGTACATTGCACACATTTCCACTGTCACAATAAGTTAGTGAATCAGATATAAAGAAAGTGGAAAAATTCTGACACAGAAGAAGGAAATTCATAAAAAAATTGACCTCTACCGATTACTAGTTCTAAACTAATGTCTTTAGGGCAAGATAAATTGATTGACAGAATGCTTTATAACTCCCTGAGTGAGTGAATTTATTAAATAACTTTGCAAAGTCAGGCTCTCCGGTTGCCTAAAGCTTTGAGTAAAATTTTTGGGAAAAACTTGTAGTTATTAAAATAACAGCACACGAGCATTTGGGTTTTCCTTACCTGCAGGACACCTTCACAACCATATTATCCTGCTATTTCAGACTTGCAGTCAATTGGCCTAACTACCTATAAGGGGAATCCCATTAAATAAAACTGTAAATCCATTTTTTCATGGTAAAAAAAGTACAAGACACTTGGAAAGGTCAATTAAGGCTTAACTGGACCAATTCATCCCTCCTGCACAAGTCTGAATATACCGACAAGTTAAAGAAGCTTACAAAACCTGTTCATTGCCTCAGGGATTAGAAATGGGGAACATATCAAAATAATAGTGTTCCATCAAATTCCTGTGTGACCAAAGGTGCTGTTCACACAGTTCTTTCACTATGTAAAGCACTCTTTATACTGTTAATGTACTCCACACAATAGTTCAGTAAATTTAGTTCTGATAGAGAATAGTAGACAGTAGGGAAAAAGATGAATCTTCCTCCTACAGATGGTGGGTTCCTCACCCTTCACTAGAAAGAAATGGGTTGACTTTCCATTTGCCTTGCTGGAAATGCCACATCCCATTTATATAGGTTTTCATTTATTACTTTTATTTTCTACCACTTCCTGTGCCCCCATCTCCAGAAGACATGCCTTTGGTTAACCACCTTCTTCCCTGCTTGAGGGGGTCTCTGCATGTAATTGCCCACTACTAGTCTTTCTACAATTCCTGCAGTACTGAGAACAATCACATATAGCAAAATATCATAAGTACATACATTTGTTTATAAATTAAAGTTGTTTATTTCATTGTTAGTTTTTGCTCATTTCACTGTTAGTTTATCTGGTTCCAATCACTTTCTAATCAGTTGGACCATTACTTTTGCTACAGTCAGTCTCAAGGCACCTCCCCTTTACTTGTGGCCTATAACCTGCCCTGTGTAATTAGTAAATTCCATAAGAAACAATCTATCTATTCATCCACTTTCAACGACTAAGGAATGTAACAAAAACATACAGTTTGGTAAAGTCTTCTAGAAAGTGTAGAGACAAGCTCTATTATATCACTTAGAATTAAGTGTTATTAATTATTTCTAATAAATTGACTGAGCAGCCAGGTGCTTCTCTCTGAAATCGCAAGATTGTAGCTAAATAGGCCCCTCTTTGTTGGCCTCTTAAATGACAAAATGACCAGGTGGTCTTTAAGTGTGGAAAAGCATGGGAGGTGAGTTTGTCTTTTGGACAATGATATTCTCCAGAACACTGATGATCTAACTTCCCCTAATGGATGTGCACTGATGGCACCTGGATGTCTAGCAGAGACCATTAGGCACATCTTCTGGACTTGATCTTTAAGTCATAGGGCATGGTCAGTAACCCAAAAGAAGATCCACTATTGAGCGATCTGTAGGATGGATACCAGAACTACTGTATACCTGATGGCATCTCAGCAAATCACCAACTTGTGATGTCTCACTATAAAACTGTAACACAAATATTTTTTCAACAATCACTGGCACTCTCAATCTCTCCATCTAAACTGGCCAACTGACTTTTACAACATGACTACAAGCAGTCCAAGTCTGAACTCAAACATTTCTTCAAGAAGCCAGGCCCAGAACATGAGTTCATAAAGTGTATAATTCAGTAAAAGATATTCTTCACAAAACAGAAAATCTTTTGTTCATGAACCCCATGTTATTTTTGCCTGATCAATGAAATAGACAGTTGTTCTCTTTCTTTATGTCAACAACCAAAATAACCAGGTTTTCTGAATATACTGTAAGCTATAGCTGGAATGAACTGAGTTCCTCCTATGCCTAACGTTCCAGACCTCAAAAGGACAAACTGCAATTAAACTGTTTTTAAACACAGAAATAAGGAAGACATTGCTTTGGCAGAGCCACCGAGCCCACGCAAGGTAAAGCTTTCTCTCCTCTGTCTGTCACAGAGAAACCCAGTCCAGTCTTTTTACTAGAGTGAAGTTTAAACTCATCAGGGAGGTCTGGCCAATGGATTTCTTCATTAATCACATTATTCTCTAAAGAACTATTATTACAAACACATTTGATGATTAGTTCACACTAATACATGCATATATACTTGTGTCTGAGAATATAAATGTGTTTTAGTTACGTGAGAACGAAAGACTCTACAAGCCAGAGTGTAACAAATTACAGTCAATGTGCATTTAACTCTGATCTTTGTAATCCCTGATCACATTCCATATCACAGCACACCATTTCACATATACCTTTATACTGTATACTATTACATTTGTTAAGCATGTTTTGGATTTATCAATAAATGTTACATTGTTTATACTGTATAGAATCCATGTATGTAAATTTTGTTTGGTTCCTAAAAGTCATCAGGTACTCTTGCAATTTACTGTCACAATTTCTGATTACACTAAATTAAAATTCCCAACCACTTACATTTATTTATGGGGCCCTGTGTGAGGATGATTAAGAAAATGGAACAATCAAACAAAACTTTATTGGTAATTTGTAATATTGGGGTTCAGGATTCATATACAGTTTTACTGTGTTGAAGCCATTCAGAAGTGAGCACAGCCTCTGCTGTTAATTGCAGTACTACTTTTGTCACTGGGAATTTTGTAGCGTGTAAAGTTCTGTGGGAAAGTAGTTCAATAATTATGGTTGACAATCTCTCACTGATTGAATCATTTTTACTAAAAATGGCATCACTCAGCTGCTGAGATAGTACTGAAAAATGTGATTAAAATGAGAAGTTGCTCAAAGTTGCTGAAAGACAGAATGATTCTATGAAGAAAAATCTCTGGATTTAGTCAAACTCTTGTGCAGTTATGCTTTAAATCTTTCTAGACAACTTGAACTAACTTGCAAGGGCTTGTTGAAAGTTCAAATTCCCTGTCCCAATTTCTGATTGTTACAGCAAATTAAAATCTCCTGCTGAATCAGCTATTAGAACTATTTAAGAAAACACTTAGTAACACATTGCAAAAAACTCAAGTTTGATGGTATTTATACAAAATCAGTTCAAGGAGAAAAATTAAAGGTTCGGCTCCTATCCATTTATTTTTATTGTGGGCAATCTATTTTAACAAAGAGTACCACCCAGATGCTTGCTTTATAAGTCAACAGGTCTGTCACTACTGAAGACAATTCAAACTGGTTCTAAATCCAGTAATATTAACATAACGTATTTTGGTCAAATCAATATGGTGGAACATATCTGTCATATTTGGTAAGGCTATGATATAACAACATTTTTCCTTTCTGAATCTATAGGTTTACTTTAGCATTTTTAGAGTATATATTTAATGGTTGAATGCCCAGACTACAAGCCATGGGACAGTGAGGCTTTGTTCATGTGTACTTTAGTTTATGATCTAGGGTGCTCCTTTTCAGAAGAAAAAGACAACCCCTGGTGGCAGCTGCTTTGACATCTGAATCCCACTAGAAATCATCTGCTGCTGCTTTCCCCTGGAGAATCTATACATAAGTTGTGCCTATATGTGAGCTGATGTTGGAGGAGTCATCTCATTAGGATGACCTCTTACTAACTGCATTTTTCATAATTTAGTGCTATGTTCCTTCTCTAATTCCACACTTTGCTAGCGATAAGGTAGCACAGCTAGAGATCCCAATTAAACAACTGTTCTTTTGATATAAATTTAAGTAGTGTTCTTTATTCTGTCATTACTGTATACTGAATAGTGAGTTTATTCTAGAAGGAAAAATATTTACAGATTTCAAAGAAGATTTTCTTATCTCTAATAGTATGATAATAATGTCAACTATTATAATCTAAAAGAAATTATGATCAAAAACAGCTGATGTTATTTTTATCAGGAGAAAACTAAAGGAGTGCAACAGAGACCTAAATTAACTATTCTTTTTTTTTCCCAGATACCGTTGTCGATGAATGTCTCATCTTTTCTCACCTTCGACCAATCACCGATTTCATTTTGTGGTGTGCATCAGGAATTCATGGCTTCTAAACCCTTTGAAACTGCTATCCAAGAAGAATCAATGGACATACACAGAGAGAGAGACATCGAGTTGAGCACAATAACAATAGCACGCCCAGGAGATCGTATGTAGCAAAAGGAAATGTATTTGTGGACATCAAACGAATCCTGAAACTACTGTATTGATGAGCGTAAATGGATTTTTAAATGACACTTAAAGAGCAAAACACTTTCCACTTCATGAGACTTTGTTTGGCTAGAGGGGCACGTACCACTATGTCAGCTGAACTGGAATTTTTCAGAACTGCTTTGCTGTCCTCTGATCAGCTGTGCTATATTTTTTTTAAGGAAAAATTCTTTTCTTCCCAACATCCCATTAACCTACGTGGTATGTAAAAAAAAATCTGTAAAATATAATTGTATTTTTCATAATGAATACAGTTTGGATGAAAAAAAAGTAATTGCTTTATGTTTTCTCACAATTTTAATTTACAAATGAGTTCTATAGTGTTTTTTAACATTATGTTCTGTAATCTGTAACATTTGTGTTCCTTATAAAGAACAAAGTATGAATCTAAATTTAAGTTACAATGCTTCTTTCCCTATTGATTTATGCATACTCATTTTTTATTTTATTTCCTAACTTTTTTATTATAAGGAAACTTAAAATAGTGTTTGTACTCAAAAAAAGGATTTGTTACGAGCAAAAATGCATTATGCATAATTATATCCTAGGTATTCGGTATTCAATACAGTGTATTTTTTTCTGAACTAAACGTGAGTCTTTTCAAAAAGAGCTTACCTTTATAGATGTTCACCCACAAAGTTGTTTTGGCTTGATGACCTGACATTTTGAGAGATTTAGTATGAAGTTATAAAAATGCCAACACAAAGAAAAAGTAAGCTTTGATGAGTTTCCATCCAAAAGGGGTGTCTCTAAATTAAAAATAAAATTCTCTTGCTTGAATTAAAATACTTTTTGACAAAATTATGTTTTTATGAAAGTGCAGTACTATTAGCTTCACCCAGAGCTTTCATTAAAATCCATATTTTTAAAAAACAAATGTTATGTTGCAGTGTTGCCTCTTGATGGTAATTTGGCCCCTCAATTTTAATGGCAACAGGGACCCTATATTTATACTCTAAGAAACTGCCTTTTCATGTGAATAAACAATAAAATACAGTGGTCTGGTGGACCTCTGAAGGTAAATGAATAAACCTCCAATGTTTATTAAATAAAAAAGTTTATCAGAATAAAAGCTTTTTTTTAAATTTTACAAACACACAGGTTTCCAGTTTGACATATTTGGTTTTATGTGAGGTCTCAACAGGATTGGTTTTAGATTTTAAAAATCCAGACCATAATCAATTAAGTGGACTGTACCAGCATAGGCGAAATCAAAACAATGTACAAAAACCCCTCTCAATAGCGTACTTGTCAGATCATTTGCATCTTATTCACACTGTGAGCACTAGAAAAAGAGGAGGACATTGGAGCGAGATCAGAGGCAGTTCTCTCAAAAGCCACTGCCCAGCAGGACATGGAGTATTTCTAGCACGTCTGACCAGAAGAAAGGGGGTCACATCTAACCAGTTATATACAGGCACTTACAGTATGAGCTCCTGATCAGAGTAGGCAACAAAATCACCCAGATACAAATTAGGCATTACTGAACTCCAGGGTCCAATCGAAAGCCCTATTTGCTGGACTTTCAGGCAAAGGCAACAATACATTTACAGTTATGTACAGTACGTTACAGACTGTTGTGCTGTATTGGCTTATCTACATTTTTATGATTCTCAGGGCCTTTTAAAAAATCTGTTTAAAAAGCATTGAGCATTTGCAAAAAGCATTAAGAGTGAAATCTTTGAAAATGTGAAAAAAGCAGCACAATTCAAATGTCCTTTGGCTGAGAACATTAAAGAGCTCATACTACAGAGATCTAAGTTATTTTGGACTTTTGGACTACAAACTGAGCAATACAAGCAGAATTAATTTTACTTAATCCACAATCAGCCATCAGATGGAAATGATTTTCTGTCATTATGCTTCATTCTGGTTAACTGAACGAAACAGCAAGCCCCTGGGCAATTCAAATGTGCAACCCCTTTCCACCTTTAAATAAATATTCTTAAAAGTACAGTTCATAATCTATATAGAACCAGCACATGCTATTAAAGGAGATTGACATATAAAGGCCGTTTATTTTATAGAACAGTACATTAAACATGTTCTATATTACAATGAAAAAGGCAATGTTACTTGAAATGTTGAAAAAGTAAGAGCTTCTAATTTTCTATAGAACAACTTTTAACATAAAATGTCAAAAACTCCCCAGTGGTCTGCAGTTGGCCCCTGTGACCTTGGTAACCTCAGCAAAACATGACAAGTGCTTTACAGCCCTCTATGTAGGAATTATTAACTTCAGGGACAAATCATACAGGCAGATCAAATCTGGGGAGATATAAGGAAACAGTGAAAGAGTCAAAACATAGGTTGCAAGAAATTTGAGCCTTCTTGAGGCATCTAAGGGTATAGAGGACATATATTCCTGTCTTTTACTATTCCATGAGGGACAAAATTCAGATATAAATGTTCACCTCTTATCTCAGAGTGTTACAGCAACCCCTGCCAAGGACATGTCACAGAGGGTGGCAGCATAGAAAAATATGTGGCACCTTTTTCATGGAAGATAGCTATTGAAACGAAAACACAACTAAATCAATATAAACAACAAAACCTGCATACTCTCATGATGTGTCATGCATTTAAGGAATTGAAGATAGGTTCTAAAGTTACTCAAGTGGCAGAGATAATTTGTTTAAAAAATAATATATTAATTTCTGAAAACAGAACAAAAAACACAACATAAAGGGAAGTTCAAAGACTTGAAGTGAGGCAGGGGTAGTCAAACGTTTATTGATGAAAGTTGTATAGTTATGACTCTTTTGTGCTAGTTATATCTAACCATCTAACCATAAAGCTTACCATGAGAACTGAGTGGCAGGGTTATTTCATATGACGCCAGTAATGCAGCCAGAAAGTCATGAGAGGGCGTCAATGTCAATAGCTGGATAACTGCTTTAAAGGAATTTCTATTTGAATATCTCACATGGGATTAACAATAATGCTCACAGGTTTCCCTTGCCTTTAGGGTAATTAACAAGTTTATAAAAGAGTAATCTGAAAAGAGAGAAGCAGTCTTTCATCAGACTCAAAGAAAGGAAAAGCCAACATACTTCAATACTTTTTTCTAAAATTATTACCTGTATTTAACAAAACAGGAACACCACTAGCCTTCCTGAGAAGGAAAAGAGTTCAGTTATCCTTCTTTAAACCCAGCAAATAAAGCCCTTTAGCCAAAGCAATAGTTCTGAGAGAAATAATTTCCTCATGCTTAGGATTCCCACTTGTAATAAAAACCTGCTTGTCCGTCAGACATTCGACTCAGATAACAAATGATTTGGAATAGTAGGGAGATGAGCAAAAATTACTACTGCATATAGATGACTTTCTCCAGACCATGTGACTTGATGTTTTACATTTCAGCATTATGTTCTTCCCCAAAAAGTGAATAAAAGACAACACAACATGACAAGCAAAAGACTTACAATGCTTGAAGACAACTAGTGAGTTAAGAATTGTCATTGAGAAGGTTCAGAGCAATGTCACATTAGACACATCTGAAAGCACATTTGTCACAAATCCAACAGCGCCTTTTTTACGGATACTCTAAAACATGTATCCCTTTGGTATTAGATACAATTTTAATGTGTGGCAATGAGGGAACAGTCTATATTTGGAAGCACTTACAGTATGTGGTGTTGCCTACATTCAAAGCATCTTTCTGATGATTTCACTTGTGTGCTAAACTTGTTATAGAAAGAGAAAATGTTGTCAAATACACCATCATAGCACTATCAACCAGTTTTCCTAGACCTCTATCCCAAATAAGGACAGTTGTGTGTAGATTGATTTTAATTGAGAGAAGATAGTGATATAGAGAAAAGTTGCGTGCAGAAACTGTTTTAACAATTTGATTAGCCACTGGTTGAGGCAGCGTATCATTTCACCCTATAGACATGAAGATGTCACAGATAATATGAACATTTCTTATAGACCAAGGTAGGTAGGAAAAGAAATGAGAACTTCATAAGAGGAAGTTGGATAAAAGAATGCAGTTCTGTACAGCTTTCATCCAAATACTGTATACAGGAAAGAGCAAAAAATAAGACTGAAAACATCCAACTAGGTAGTTTAAAACTTACAAGTAATAGGTTTATTCTATGCTGAAAAGAGAAGAAAAAACATGTTTCGGCTGTGGAGCTCACACCTGAAGAAGAAACACAGTTGCATTCTCTTTCTTCTCTTTTACTCATGGAATAACCTATTACATGTTGCTTTGCAGCCTATGCATGCTGACGCAACTACCCACCTGAACTAGTTTAAAACTTAATTGGTTACCATGTAGCTGTAGCTCAAACCATGTCTTAAACACCCTTAAATGATAATGATAATGCATGGTTGTCAGTCAGACTCATGATCAAGTCTTATTCTGATGTTAAATGAACTAAATAAGATCAATATTAATTGGTAAAAATGTACTTTTGACATACAAATGCTGGACCTCAGTGGAATAGATTACAGAAAAAAGATAATTAACCATAAATGGTACTGTATTGAAAGTTAAACAGAATTGAACTGCTACTGTATGTACAGTATTATCCATATTACTTTTAGTACAAAAAAGTTTGCAGCTTGCTGAGAAAAATTAAGAATACACATCTAGGAGAAAACTAAAGACACTGTATTCAGTAATGGAAAAATATAATAAATGCAAGGGATAGTGCTATATAGCGTAACAGAAGTACCACTCAAAATATTTACTAATGAAATTATTCCAAGTAAAGATAAACTTTGACCTAATGTGTCATTTACTTTGAAAGCGGGCATTAGGAATGTACTTACAGTACACAGATGTGTATGCTACATCAGTATGTTAATGGAGGTTCACAGAAACCACAGATGTGGGGTATTGTTAAAGCTAGAATATAATAAATTCCTTTCTATTTCTGAAATGATTGCTCTAAAAAAGAAATAATGGATGACCTTAACCCTTCTTTTAACATACAGTAAAGGGCATATTTAAGACATGATTTTTATTCTTCTTAATGATAATGACTTTTTGTCAATTAAAAATGACCAAATATTATAAGAGCAGGTCACAGATTATGCTTGAATATCCCATAATTATCATGCTATTGCACGCTGAATTGGATCTCTGTTGTCATAGATTTAAAACGGGTCACACGAGCTCCTAATTGTGCAAATAAAAATTAAGTTGAAATATGGTCAGATCCTTTCATTTTGAAAATAGTTCTCTTCAACAGAAAGAAAGTCCTCTTAAGTTTGATTGAGCAGATACATCACACTTTAAATGGAATACAGACTTTTTTACTGT